TATCAAATCTAACCAAACAAGCCTTTAGCATTCAGAGACTAAGAAATGTCGTACGAAAAAGATCATGAAAATGATGAGCAATTTTTAGCAATTAGCTGCCAAATAGTTGCCATGGGATGGGAGTCAAAAAGGAATTCGGATCCTCTCCGCTATCTAAAAAGTAGTGGAGAGACCACTACATAATCACAACCATTGATTATCTAGTTGGTGGTTGTGATATTTTTTGAGTGCAAATTAGGAAATGGTGCAATACACTGGTGTACGGTGATTGTTAGATTTAGATTGTATCATAACCGCATACTACGTAATCAACGATCAAGAGTAAAAATAGTGGATACATGAGTAGAAAGTTGCACCGGTTAACGAAACACCTCGTCTCCAAATCCCACTGGTCCTAAGCGTAACATAAGAAGCTTTTCATGCTAATTATGTTGTCAACGACCTCATGCACCATAACCATATCATCCCCTTAATTAATTCGCGCGCCTTATAATTAATAAAATAATCTTCTGCACGCAATGCGTGACACGTTAATTGCAAACCTACGTAAACTCGAAACATAATTATTTTTCTTCTCCTCACTTGATCTTCTTGGGTTTTTAGTTAACAGCGCGCGTGCGTGCTTCGTGTGGAGTAGAACACCGACAGCTTGTATAATCAAAATTAAGAACAAGCTTCTTTTTTAAATAATAGTAATAGATTAGTTATCTCAAATTAATAATAGTCGGAAAAGAGCCCACAAACAAATACACGCAGCTAAAAATCGAAGTACCTAGTTTGAATAAAAAAAAAAAAAATTGATCATCGATCATTTCTTCTTCCCATTATTCTTCTCTCCTGGCCCTAGCATCTCCTCCAACACCTCGTCATCCAAACACTCCAGCTCAATCAACACCCTGCTTTGCGCCGCGACGGTCGACGAAGAAGACGACGGCGTTGACGATGACGACGGAGCGCCCGCAGCGTAAGCACGAACTTGGTCGGGGAAGTTGAGCACGGCGAGGGAGCCTCGGCATGGCGTACGCAGCCCGCCACGTCGTAAAGCTTCCAGTCCGCCTCCTCGCGCCGGCTGTTGAAGGTTGCCCGCACCAAACCTCTAGCCGCCGCACCTGCCGCAGCTGGGAAGTCCCGGATGCTCGCGGCCCGCGAATTGGTCCCACGGCCGGCCGCGCGGCACCTCCTCTGCTACTTGGTTTTCGCAACGCCGTGCCTTGCCTCCTCTCTCCTTCCATTTTGCCCGTCTGCCGCGTATTAAAACGTGTCATGGAGCAGCCGTTGTTGGATATAAATAGTTCTGCGGCTGGTTGGTCTGGTGGGGGCCGCCGGTCGCACTCTCGCACTCGCCGCGCCGGGCTGGGCTGGGGTTGGGGGTGGGCGTGGTCGGTGGGGGGGTGGGCCGCATAAATGCGCTTCAAATGTATTTGGGCATCGAGCCGATTTCAGAGGCAGCATGGCCTTCTCTTGAAACCTTTTTGGTTTGGTTCGTATTCTTTTATTCAATGTTTCGTTGAAAGTAACAGACTTCAACGAGATTATGATTCGAATTAAGGCACGTGCTAGAATAACATCAATCGCAAGCGAGGGCGGATCCGGAAAGTTTAGTCACCGCAGGTAAAATTATAAATCTATACTACCTATAAAACATGATTGACTTGTCAAAACTTTTAATTTTCATTTTTTTATTTCCGTTTTTAGGTTTTTAGTTTGATGATTCTCAAATACGTCATTAGTTGTAATTAATCATTCACTAACTATATACAACCTCCTATTAATTATTTATGCATTTCCTCACTTTTTCAGAACCTTAATATTTTTATTATTTGTTTCGTCTTTAGTTATTAGTTTATTTTGTTTTTTTCTGAATCGATCTTAGTTATTCAATTCTATGTTCAAATCATCATTACCATGTCTTTTTATCAATTAGCCCGCTGCCTTTTATTTTCCTCAAAAGGATGAAAAGGGCTAATTTGCACTTAAATACACTATAGTTTACCCTAGTTTGCATTTATATAACCCTCGCATGTTTTAGGATGCACTTATATACCCTAAAGTTTCTCAAGTTGCACTTTATCACATTCTCTTATGCAAACGTAAGAAAAATTTCCTTTTTATATACCCACGTGACGCTCACAAGCTAATGTTAAGAATATTTTAACATTCAATATTTCTCGAATGTACTGGTAAATACACCCTAGTTCTCTTTTAAATCTACCCTAATCATACCTTGAAATTGAATTATTATGGGGTTTAACGGTAAATTCTATAAAAATTAAGAGCTACAAAAAAATCGTGAAATTAGTTTGTTAGTGTGTCACATGCAAAAATTGGTGGAAACTTCTGCATGTTTACACAACATTGACATTAAATGTCAATTATAGAAGCTTCAGCGCCCCGAAGCCCTCAAAGTCAAAGTCCCTCACGTGGATTTAGAAAAATATTATAGAAGCTTTGTTCATGTTCATCTCCTTCCTCTCTCTCTCCTTTTGTCTTCTTTTCTTCTGAACCCAACAGCCTTCAATGAGAGAAAAAAATAAAAAATAAAAATAAAAATAAAGGAATAACGGAGCTTCTCTCTTCTCAGGGTCAGTGGGGGCCCACTGCCTCCACTGTAGATCCACCCCTGATCACAAGGGCCTTGTTCTAGTAAGACCATGGCCATATATTGTTCACGCCTTGACTGCTGACTTCCTTTTGAAGTATCAAGCATTTTTTTTTTCTTGGTTGGGTAAAGTAGAAACATGGGGTTGTTTATAATTTTTTTTTTTGAATTTTTAGGAGGTCTTTGTAATTTTCAAGATTGTAAAAGGGTTCTCTGTAACTTTTAGATTTTCGTAATCCTAGTTAGGAACTTCATTACTCGGATGTAATCTAGTTCTAACCTGGCCTGATGTTGGCCAATATTCTAGCGTTTGTTTGGCAACACACCAACTAACTTGGGTAAGAGTCTAAAATATATTTGGCAAAAACTTATACAAGCTCGGACTAGTTCTTTTTAGTTCAAAAGAAAGGACCATTGCCTAGGTTATCTTTGGACTAATCCTAACTTGGTTCAGTTCTAGTCCGGTTAAGACCCTAACCGGATTAGCGTCAGGTTGCCCAAGTGTGCTCGTCTAAAAAATATCACAAGAATGGGGAGAAAACAATTTGAATTTAACTTAAAATTGAATCAAATTTAAAAAAAATAGTCAAGTATCAGCGCTAAACCTGCAGGCTTAATAATTGAAAAATATTCAACTTGAGTTTGCTTAAGCTAGTTCTATAAAAACCCAGTAATTGAGGCGAAGTATAATTAGACTAGCACTAATCTGATTCGGTTCAATGGACATATAGAATAAAGGGGTCAGGAGGGAAGTCCAGGAGCCAAGCCGAGGTGTCCGCCCAAAAGGAATACAACAAACCCTCTTTCAGAATTTGCCTGGTTGTCATGTGTTCCATATTGACTCTAATCTTTGATCGGGCCGAGAACACGGGTGATTGATGCAAGTGTTTTAAGGATTTGATGCTCATGAATACTAATGATATCACGCAATTATTAATGTGTATATAGGGCTACTGGCGAAAAGAGATGCGTATACAGGGCGAGTTTACGGTAATCTTGATGTTATTTCATCTTTTCTCAGCTACCCTCAGACCATGATTACAAGGCGACTCCTTATAGTTTATGCACAGGTCAGTTCCTTGCCTGTGTGTATCATCTATTTTTATTCTCATGCCCATGAACATGGTAAAGAGAATCCTGGTTTCGCTTACCTGCCAAATCGAATTCTTCCTCGATCCCCTGTCAGCTAATTTTTCCTCTACTTCTAGAGGGGGAACAAGAATCATAGAACCAAAAGAAGATGGCGCTAGGGGAAAAGAAAATGTCAGTGGAACTTTCTTTGGACGATCTTCAGTATTAGGAGATTCGATGATAATAAAAATAAAATCAATGCTAGTGTCCCTACTTCTAGAGAGGAACAAGAACAGAGCCTAAAAACGATGGCACTATGGGGGAGAGAATTAAAAAAAATAAAAAAAATCAATGGAACACTACGCGGACATTTTGCAGCATCACAAAAAGCGATTACGAAGAAAATAAATCAATTAACTGAAGAGAGTGGACCCACCAACCAACAAAGGCCTGAGATCCTACTTTAAGAAAGAAGAGGGTCTAAGAGAAGTCACCAGTCGACGTCAAGCAAAAGCAACAGCCGTTGTGGAAGGCTTTGTTGCTCAAAGTCCATGAAAGAGGGAATAAAGAGTTCATTAATAGTTAACAACAAAGATTTTGATTCCTCTGACATTTTCCTACTTAAATTCTTGAAAGTCAAGACTGCTGAGTTACTTCGCGGGCGGAATCGATGATTCAAACAATCAGACCACCCGGTCAATTGAGTGATGATAACATATTGTGACTGTGCCTGCTTTGCAATTTCCTAAGAGAGTAAAGGGAATAAATAGTCAAAACATCCCAGAGTAGCTGCTAAGCAAAGTGAATGTAATGTCCACCGGCGGAAGTTGTTCACTGGTCAATTTGGTAAAGGTATTCTGCTAATGGTGGATAAATGTGGATGACAGGCATAAGTGAGTATTCTTATACAAAGACAGTAATTGACTAGAAAAACAGAAGGGAAAAAAGAAGAAGATAGTCCTCTCGTATAATCTCCCGTTTTGTAAACTACCACAACCAGTGAGTGAATTCTTCAAAATCAAGATGAAGGGGAAAAAATTTATGAACTTTATACCTATATGATATATAAAGAATATTTAAAAAGACAGTTTCCACCAGCAAAGCTAGGGACACACCTAAATGCCTATAATTACACGAAGTTTTACAGGGTTGACCAGCCATCGATCTATATCAACGTAGAATAGAAAGATTTACTTCCTAAATTATACGAAATTTGCTTAAGATTACAGTATAACAAGCCATCAACCTAAATTATTGTAGAATAAAATACCGAGCAACAAAAATTGCATCATTAAAATACACATGCTGAAACTATATAGAACAGGACTAATGCATGAAGAACATAAATTTGCATCTACACATAAAGAACATAAATTTTCATAAGATTACAATATAACAAGCCATCAACCTAAATTATTGTAGAATAAAATACCAAGCAACACAAATTGAATCATTAAAATACACATGTTGAAACTCTATAGAACAGGACTCATGCATGAAGAACATAAATTTGCATGCACGCAACCTATTGGTGACTCACCTTGCTCCTAGTGTTGCATGGTTCTGGTAAAAGTGGTATCATTTTCTTGAGATAATGGAAAGTCTTGAGCAACTACACCAGTTGCTGATCCAAAAGCTTTTTTCTTCAACTGCTCAAAGAGCCGGGTAGCTTCCCTAAGCTCCTCTTCAGCACTGGGACCATGATTTGTCCATGCATCAATAACTTGTTGTTGGAATTCCAAAGCAAGGGGGTAGCTGTATTCAAAGAAAATAGAGTGATTATAACCATTGGCCCCGAATAAATTCTTCTGGAAGAAATATTCAATCAAAGTGCAAGGTTAATCTTTGTCCTCTAAATTTATTGCTGTAGTCAGAAGAGACCGCAAAAAGAGAGGAATGTGTAGCAAGCAACTGACATGAGAGTTTAACTAGAAAACAGAAGCAGAACTCGCCAGACATTTTAAAGTAGGTTAGCAAAGAAAGAATGTTATAATTGACTTTAAAGTGCAAGGTTAATCTTTCTCCTCTAAATTTATCAGAGATCATGAAAACAGACAAAGATGTCGCAAGCAGGTAACCGACATGACGGTGCAGAACTGATTAGTCATTTTAAAGTGGGTTAGCAAAGAAATAAGTAACTTTATAACTGACTTTAAAATGTAGCTACATATTTAGTCTTCTGACATCCTTTTCTGAAAGCTTTTCAACTCTGAATTCTGTATTTATATTTCTCTGGAATATATCTCAAAAACTTAAAATTTTCTCCCCTTCATTGGTCTAGCAGTAAGATATAACTTCCGAAATGTGAGTTAAATTCTAGAACAGGTCAGCTTGGGAAATTTCATGAGGTCAGCTGGTATGGAATTCTTTTGTGTTCAAACATATTCTAAATCTTCTTGCTGCTAATTATTCAGAACATAGATAGATTGTATACAAAAGGGGAAAAAAAATTCTGGTTTGGTTTAATCCAGTAATGCAGATGCATATGCTTGTTTTTTTAAAGCTGACTTTTAAATCGGATCACATATTATTCAAAAGTTCCTACTTAGCCGTACTGGAAACTTTCTGATCAAACGGCTTGGTGTTCAATGGGGCTCCAATTATCATCTATCTATCTACAGAAAAATTAACTGATATAATTTCAAGAAGAAAGATCAGCTCTATATACTTCCTGCAACTACTTCAGCAGCTCTGCTTTGGCCTTTGCAGACAGAGAAGCCTAAGAGAAGCTATGCAAGATTGAATTTTTTATTAGAAGGATCCATGATGATGTCATTGCTATTAGGAAGAAATTTTTGCGTATATGATGACTCCCTAACAGGCAGATTGCTCAAGGATTTGGCACCATAAGAATTCTCCCTTTTTTTTTTACGATGTATGTGAATGCTGTATGTTACAAGCTTGATTTTCATCTGTTTACCACTTCAAAAAAGATTAGAAAAAGAGCATTTCAAGAATTGAAAACCCTCTGATACCAAGTTGATACCAAGTTACTATAGTATCAACTTGAAAAAAATCTTGCAATATTTCATCATAATCCATGCCAAAGAAATTGAGTTATCCCAGGACAATAGACTAGAAAAATGCAATCACGAGACATCATGAAATTTATACTCACTATTAGCTCGAGAGAAATATCAAATATAAATTATTAAGACCAAAAAATATTTTGTGGAGGAAGACTGCTGATTTCAAGTTATTTAAAAAAAATAAAAAGAGACCGCTGATTTCAAGTTATTTAAAAAAATAATTTGTGGAGGAAAAGTGCTGATTTCAAGTTATTTAAAAAAATAAAAAAAAGACAATGTAACAACAGGAAGCTGCAATATACTAATGGATCATGGAGCAATGGAGGAAACCATGCGGATTTCAAACGCATTTCAAGATTTCTTTGTGAGAACAAGGACACCAATTTGATTGACTACAAAAACAAATCTGATGAATTAAACAGGAAGATTTTTTTGATGCTATTAAACATTGTGGGAAGTTGCCATAAACTGATGAACAAAATAGCATCGAGTTATGCAAGGATTCCAAAAAGTAAACTTATACCTTAGGTGATATCCCAACTGTTATGCTAGCTTAAAATCTAAATGGAGGTTCCAAAATAAAAAGCAAACACAAGTTCAAAAGCTCTCATTACCTTCCCATAGCACTATACGCATTAGCAAGACTCTGACAACTCTGGATAGAATCAGCATGGTGTGGCCCCAGAGCGACATCCATGACATCCTTTGCAAGAGCAAACATTTGTGCAGCTGTATGTGGCCTGTCCATCTCCATGTATGCAGCCCCTAAATTGTTATAAATATATCCGACTCCAAAATGCTTCGGTCCAAAGCTCTCCTTCATTCTCTCAGCTGCACTCTCCAAATAAGCAACAGCTTGGTCCACCTTTCCTGTCAACAGAAGCAACCACCCAATTCTTGCTGACACATTCCCTTCCATATGTTGTTCTTGTGGGATCCTTTCGAGCAGTGAAAGGCTCCTCTTCAGTAATGAAATCGCAGTCTCAAACTCATTCATTGACTCATACAACATTGATACTTCAGTGTAAGCTTCAGCAACCACTGAAGGGGACACTTCTTCCTTCTTCTCAAGAATTCCACAAGCTATCTCTAAACACCTCTTGGCATCAGCAGATTTCTCTTGGTTACACAATGCTTTCGCCATGGAAATAAACACCAATGCTTTGGTCTCACTGTCCTTATCCGTTTGCTGAACCACTTTCTTGAGTGATTCTATAGCTTCATCATACTTCCCCAAAGCAATCTGAATATTTGCAGCATCAATTTCGGTATGCAGAAGATCAGAACCTAAACCCCAACTCTTCAAAACCTTTTGCGACTGCTCATTTTGCTCCAATGCCTTCTCATGCTCTTCTAATCCAGTATATATTACACCAAGAAGCCTTCGATCATGAGCGACTTCAACTGAATTCAACCCTAATTGTGCCTTATGAATCTCCAACGCTTTAAGACACAATGGCAGAGCCTCCTTAAAATTAAGAATTGCAGCATAAGCCTCTGCTAAATCCCTATAACCCACACCCAATTCTTTACTATTCGGCTCAAAGATCTCTTCTTTGAGCTCCAAGCACTTTCTAAGGTTAACCAAAGCCTCTTCTCTTCGTCCCATCGCAGTTTTCGTGTTAGCTAATTGAAGGTTAACAGCATGCACCACCGGCCTAACATCGAATCCAACCGAATCCTCTTTTCCTATAGATGCAAGAATCCGATTGGCCCGATTCAAGAACCCTAAGCTATCATTGAACCTTTTAAGGTTGTAAGTTATAGAACCTACCAGATGAAGCGCCATCGCGATCGGGATTCTGTCCTCGGGGTCTTCGTCGAGGATTTTGAGGGCTCTGAGAGCGAATTCTAGGGTTTTATCGTGGTCATCGGATTCGATGGTTTCGAGATGCTGGCCAACCTTCAAGCAGGCGAGCCCTAGCCTCTTGTCGCTAGGGTTTAGGGACGATTCTAGAGAGTTGAAGGCGGTGAGGATTTCTTCGGTCGTGGTTGCGGACTCGAAGGCTTCTTCGAGATCGGACTGCTGCTTGAGTTTTCGATGGAGGGGAGGGGTAGCTCGGGAAAGGGTTTGGAGGGTTCGTGATTGGGGACATTTTGGGAATAGAATTGGGGATCGAGCTGCTGATTGAAGAATCCTGGGGGTATTTCGGGAAGAGCAGAAAGATTTGATGAGGACGGAGAGGGAAAAGGAAGCTCTTCTCATGGCTTTTTTCTTCGTAGGTAGACGAACGGAGGTAACATTCGCGAAGAACCCTCCCAAAACCCTCACGTTTATTTGGATTCGGGCAAGGCCCATTTTCTTTTGTCCGGCCCGGTTTAAATTCCCGGTATATGCACACACTCCTGCGGAGCAACATATCTTTAAGTTGTGCCATCTTCGTGGACTCATCAGCTGCCTTCCCGCCATCTTCGCGCGTTGGTTCCCGCCAAATCGGTCCGTTATATCCCTACCCTTTATTTAGCCTTTTCCACCTTTTTAATATCGAGAAGACGAAAAAAAGGGGGGGAAAAACCCTCATTTATTTATTATTCTTTTACTCCCTCTTACGAAGGCAAACCGATCGAGGGTAAACCCTAGAGATGCCGCAGTCTTCATCGGTTCCTTCCTCGGCAAAAGAGAAGCCGATCGAA